AAAAAAAAAGATATGGCACAATATATTCACACGTAAGAAGCACAATATCATACACTAAAGTTTTAAAACAATAAAAGAGTTACGAATCTTGCCTTTGTCTTCATGAAAGTTCTAGATGAAATAAATCGATTGGTCCCTTTGTTACAAGATGATGCGACCAATATTTGATAAATAAAGGATTCAGAAGATTGTACAAGAACAAATTATCATTAACTAAAATGTTTAATACAAACCTAATTTGTTAGATTGATAATGAATACTCATAGTTCTATACTCCTCGAATTTGGTAAAGCCTTCCCGAAAGTGCGACACATGAAGATAACAATTATGTTCTTGTAGCACATAATATTACTGATTTCATGATTTAAAAGTTTTTAATTTACACTTAAATGTAACTAGCACAATCAGTTTCCTTATTGTTTATTTAAAAAAAAAAAGATATGCAGAGGGATTGAAGAGTATTCCGAATCATTCCTTTATTTGAATCAATGACACATTTCTTTATCGTTAAATAAAAAGTTAACCAAGTATTTCTTGAATCAAAAAGAGCAAGAACGGCTTCAATTAAACTTTTTTGAGTTTGGGGTCCCCAATAAAATTTTTTATTTCCATAATTGATATTTTTTTTTCCCCCATGATCTGACCTTTTTTGAAGAGTTTAAAATACAATATTTATATAAAAGGTTTTGTGATATGTTTAAATACGTTTCTAAATATTAGCGCCACCGAGTGTTAACCATATTTGAATATATATATATATATAAAGAATATATATATAATATAAATAATATCTTATTTCGCGTCCTTTTCGCAATGATATTCCTGGTCCCTCTTATTGGCTACATGTGGTGATACAGAGCCAATAATTGTGCCCATATAAGGAAACTTTTTCGGAAGGTCAAGATACTTTAGGTAAACCGGCCCTTGTCGTCCATTGGTATGATGAATTTTATTAATTTAATTTAAGTAATATACCAATAATTTAAATAATTTAGCATTTGATTCTTTAAAAAAAGAAAAAAGAAAATTTGAAACGATTACTTTACAAACGAAATAACGATGATCGTCCTTCAGCTGCTGGATTCTTGGGTCTCGGGAGTTAGAACTCGGTCCAATTCGGGACTCATAATAGGAATTCCGGTTACGATATGTAAAAAAAAGATTAAACGTTAATTTGTGCGACGTACTTGTTGAACAAAAATATTCTTTCCCGGTAAATCATCACCAACAACCATTCAAATATGAGTGGTCATATGACCGTATTTTTTTTTTTTATCCCATTGTGTCTTAATCCTATCACAATGCGATGATTCGGGATTTTAGTATTGTCAATAAGCGATTTACCTTCCCAAAAGTCGTAAATGTTTTGGTTCTGAGAATTCTAAAAAATTCGAATAAGGTTTTTTTTTTTTTTTTTAGAAAAAAAAAACCTGTTTGTTTTTTGTTGTTGTTTTGTTGGTGCTTTTTTTGTGGTTTTTGTTATCTTTCTCCCATTTATTTTTTTTTTTTTTTTCATTGCACAGAGTTGTTGCATAATTTTAAGAGTTGAATGAGCAAAAAAGGCAAGCCATTGCAGAGTTTTAAAATGGGAAGTCGGCAGCCGGCAAAATTCGGTAAAAGAAGAAAAAAAAAACCAGGATATCAGAATATAATAACGCTATACTCGGTTTTACTACTATTGTGTTAACACGTGACGTGACACGACCCTCCTCAAACGTATTTGTGCAATATTTTGAATATAACAAGTTAAGTCGGACCATCCTTACGGTAGTAATATTAATGATAAATAATCATAATCATACTGTAAAATAATAATAATATTAATAATAATAAAAAGGAAATGCGACCCCGTAAATAATTACACACCAATTACAAATAATTGTAATACAAATTATACTTGTACAAGGATAACTCGACAATGATCCAACTACCGTAACATGTAAATAAATTAATTGACGCGTATACCTCAATTAGTCGAACAAAATGCTTCACATAAAAGATGTAACAACATTATTGGTTTCACGATTAGTAAACTTTGCTTTACCGAAAAACGAGTGATTGGCTAGAGATGGTTAAATTTGGTGCAAGCGGTGTGGTGGAATCAAATGTCCGAGCGTGAAAATTAACAAAGGATCTCAATGTTTTGAACCCCTTAACGAAAAAAAAAAAATACCTATTCAAATTGGGCCGCCATTTAGATCAGTGGCGTGATTTGCGATTTACCATTTTCACAAGCTTTTTATAATCTGTGATACAAAAGTTCATTGTGATTTAAATTCACTCAAATTTTTTATGATCCAGTGTTCCCCCAATCGGACATTTAATTCCTAATTGTTAAATGGTTTGAGAATTTGCTGACAAGGTTGAATTATTGGTTTTTAAAACGATGCGAGAAATAAATGACTTATTAATTTTATTTACAACAATCAAATGTAACACCGAGAAACTAGGAATCATTACTCCGGAAACGGAAATTTGACCTAAATTGCGGATGGGTTGTTATACATCAATAATAGGCAATGCTAACGCACTAAAAAAAAAAAAAATATTATTTCCTGCATGATCTCCAGGCTCCATCAAGCAATGCCCGGAGACAGTTTCCCTAGCGTCTCGATCCATTACAATTCTGACAATTGTACACCTCTTGAACCCTCCATTTTTTTGAAAGTCCTAGATGTATAAACCTCATTTTGGGTCGATCTCATTCTTCTGCTTTGACTACTAGACGTTGACGAAATCGTTTAATGTGCCCAATCAAGCATTTTTCGGACTGTTTTTCGTGTAATCTTTCTTGTTTTCGATTCACATATCTGACACTTTAAAAGAGAGATATTAATAACATCAAATTCGTGAGTAAAGAATGCAATTGCCTTTCTATGAATTTCATTTTGCAAATGCATAACTTTTTCGCTGCATTCGATTATTAATTCTTTCTCTTTACCTGATATGATTAATCGAGTAAGATCATCCATATGCATGCATAGGCGACCTATTTTTACTCGTTGGAGAGTATCATGTATATTTCTTTGTTTTAAAAGATTAGGATAATTTTATTTATCATCAGATGTTATCTTATAAGAAATAGGTCATTTTCGTTTCTTTTCAAAATTTAGAGGCCAAAAACCATTTTTATATATTGAATACATTAAAAGTTAGAAACATAAAAATGATTCTATATGGATTTTGAAAAAAAATTTATAAATAGATTGTAATTATTTATTGTAAGAAATTCATGGTTAGAATTATTAAGTTTAGGTTATTTGCATTTTGCTTAATAATTTATAGAAATTAATGCTTTATCAATTGCCTCATCATAAGTATCTTATTATACATATCTTAAAGTAATATACTAAAAACATGTAAAAATTTATATAAGTTTTTTATCTTTATATTTACTAAAATCTTTTCTTCTTAAACATTTATTAATTTTTAATTAATATTTAAATAATATTTTATATAGAATTAATATATTCAGCTAGTAAAAAAAAATAATATATTTATTTAACAAAGAATAACTTAGATTTGATACTATTATTTCTGAAAATATTGATTTTTTTCAAATAATTATATTATTAAATTAATTTCAATAAATAATAATATTATAAATATTTTACTAAGTTTATGATATTATTTTAATAATAACTTTAAAATAATTTTTAATTAATAATACATAATTTTTAACTTTATATGCTTATAATATATATTATATCATCTTATTTACATTTTTATTATTATTGATAATATGCTACTATTATCTTTATATTCTATATATAAACTTAATATTAATGATAAAATATTTTTAATTAATTTATATTTTTTTTAAAGTTTGATTAATTAAAATAATTATAAATTGTAAAAGATATATAATAAATTAGATTGAAATTTTATTATGATAAATTATTATTGTTTAAAGCATAGTGGAGGACAATCAAACACTAAATATATTAAATGCAATGTTATTCTATCTTACATATTGATCACCCAATAAAATTTTATATTGCTAATATTATATCACACGTATTTTACAAAAATTAAACATGAAAAAAATTGAACAAAATAAAAATTAATTATAAATTAATAAATTATGATTTTTATTATAAGTCCTGTTATTTAAAATTATACTTCAAACTAAAACAATTAATGTTCTTTATTTTTAATAGATTTTATATTCTATTTAAAATATAATATAAAACTGTTTATAATATGATTATTTACAAATTTGTGTTATTTTAAATATTTTTACATTTTTTTCCTTCTTTCTATCTATATAATTTTTTTTTTTTAGTTTATGATACTTTTAAATTATATAAAAACTAGAAAATTCATAAAATACAATTATATTTCTACTAGTAATAAATATAGGTTTTATTATTTTTAATTTAAGGTTAATTTTTAAGAAATATTATTTAATAATATCATAATAATTATGAAGTAATAATATTCTTTATTTTTATTTAAATTTGTAAAACTATAACATAAATAAATATTATTTTACTTATTTTATAATGATTAAACTAAATTAAATAAATTTTATTATATTTACTTTATTAATAAAAAATGATTTATGATAAAATGTATAATTTTTTTAATCATTTTGATTTTAAATCTCTTATTAATATATTAAATAAATAAAAAAAAAAATATTAAATTTTGTTAAATATTTATTAAATAATTTTTTTATATAATATATATATATCAATCAGATAAAATTCTCAAATTAATATAATATGAAAAGTAAATTTATTCTAAAAATAATTTTCTTTACAATTTTATTGAATAAACTAAAAATTAATTTAATTTGTATTTCTAATTTTGATTTACCAGATTCTTAATTAAATTATGTAATTTATAAAATAAGCACGTGCGCTTGAAATTTACAGGGTTACACTGAAATAAATCAGTCATATGATTTTTTTTTTCCTCGAAGCAACTTTTTTTTTTCGTTTAGAAGTGTATTTTAAAAGGTTTATTTAGGATTTTTTATTTAATTTAATACAATAATGAATATGCTAAAGAAGGACGAAGACTCAGGTGAACGTTATTTCTTTTAAAGTACAGAGTTTTCCATTTTAAAGCTTCGATTGGATACCTTTAAAAAAAAAAAGTTTCGTGAATATTGAAATAGAACATTTCTAGATTACCACTTTGTTAGATTTAGAAAAGTTGTTCTAGTAAATATGCGAAAAGATTGATCAATCGATGTAGTTTGTCATAACTTATCCGGCTTGAAAATTATATATTCCTTTTGACAGGAGATTTGGGTGTTTTTTATCACATCGACAAGTCTACCGTACTTCAAGAAGCTCGCGTTTTTAATGAATCTCCAATCGTTCCAAGAAAATGCCGTCTTTTGCTCACAAAAATCATTTATTTATTATACCTTGGTGAGCCGATGGCAACCAATGAAGCCACAGAACTGTTCTTTAGTGTAACCAAACTTTTTCAATCTAAAGATGTAAGTTCCATAGAACAAAAGAACAAATATTTTTTTTTTTTTTTAAAAAAAAAAGATCATTTTACGCGAATGAATAAAATCGAAGTTTTTGCTTTTAATAAATTGTCGACAATCAATAAATTCTTTAAAATTTTAATGTGAACCTATTTTGTTTTATCTCCTTGATTATTATAATTCTAGATCGCTCTTCGACAAATGGTTTACTTGGTAATAAAAGAGCTATCAACCATTGCTGAAGATGTTATCATGGTCACTAGCAGTTTGATGAAGGATATGCAACCTAAATCCGAAGTCATCTATCGGGCAAATGCCATAAGAGCTCTTTGTAAAATCATTGATGTAAATATGTTAAATGTGTTAATTTCTTTTCCTGTAAAGTTAATATATTCAAAAAAAAAAAAATAAAGTGTTCTAATTAATTTGTGCTAAACTTAGGCGACGATGCTTCCAAGTGTTGAACGTTTTCTCAAAGCCGCTATTGTTGACAAAACCCCATCAATATCATCCGCCGCGATGGTTTCTAGTTATCATTTATTTCCCGCTGGTAAAGATGTTATCAAACGATGGGCAAATGAGGTTCATGAGGCTATCAATTCCAAGCCAACATCACTTGTTGGTACCGCTTCTTCGTACTTGTCATTCACCTCAAGTGGATCTTCATATAATACTCCATCGACAAGCAATATCAGCCAATATCATGCACTAGGTCTCTTGTATATGATCCGACAGCATGATCGTATGGCCGTAACAAAATTGATTCAACAATTGGCTGGTAGTAGTAGAGGGAATTTTGGTTCTTCTAGTGGAACTTTACGTAATCCGTTTGCATACTGTTTGCTAATTAGATACGCGGCCAAAACTTTAGATGAAGATCCAAAGTGAGAATTTTGTTATACGTCAAATTGATGTTACATTTTATATTGAACTACATCAAGTATTAATATGCATTTTCTAGTTTGCGTCAGCAAATGTTTGAACTTTTGGAGGGTTGGTTACGTCACAAGAGTGATATCGTAAATTTCGAAGCAGCGAAAGCAATATGTAATATCAAGGATGTAACTAGCAAAGAATTGTACCCAGCTGTTAATGGTAAGAATTTTGTTAGTTAACTCGCAGATTTTCCCTTTTTTCTTTTTTTCCTCCCTAATAAATCTGGAATTTCCCAGTTTTACAGCTTTTCCTTTCCTCACCCAAGTCCACCCTTCGTTTTGCTGCGATTCGTACGCTTAATAAGTTGGCCATGTCCCATCCAACTGCCGTTCAACCTTGTAATCTGGATATGGAAAATTTGATCACCGACCAAAATAGGAGTGTGGCAACCTTTGCTATAACAACTTTGTTAAAGGCAATTTATTTCTGCACAAATTTTTTTTTTTCTTTTAAAAAATAAAAAATTATTTTTATTAACTTGCATATAATTAAATTCTTTAGACGGGCAATGAGGCTAGCGTTGACCGTTTAATGAAACAAATCACAGGATTTATGTCTGAAATTTCAGACGAATTCAAAGTGATCGTTGTTGATGCGATACGTTCTTTATGCCTTAAATTTCCAACCAAACAAGTGGTAATGCTCAGCTTTTTGTCTGGAGTATTGAGAGATGAGGGTGGTTACGAGTTTAAACGGGCAGTAGTTGAGGCTATCTTTGATCTAGTTAAATTCATACCAGAATCAAAAGAAGCTGGTAGGTGTATCGATAAACATGTTCTTGTTTCAATATGAATTGGATTTTAATAGCCTTCTATTCTTTTTTTTTTTGGTCGTCATGGATCACGTAGCCTTGGCTCATTTGTGTGAATTCATTGAAGATTGTGAATTTACCAAACTTTCTGTACGTGTTCTTCATTTGCTTGGAGTTGAAGGACCAAAGACAGCTACTCCTACAAAATTCATCCGCTATATATATAATCGTGTCATATTAGAAAATTCTATTGTGAGAGCTGCTGCTGTGAGCGCACTTGCTAAATTTGGCGTAAGTGCGGAAGATTCGGAAGTTAGAAAGAGTATCAAGGTGTTGCTCACAAGGTGGGTTGCTTTTTTTTTTTATTATTATTTAAAATAATCCCATTGTATCAGTATCATGATGTATTTAGATTTATATTATTTTTTTTTTTCCTTTCTTTCCCAGATGTTTAGACGATAATGACGACGAAGTTCGAGACAGGGCTACATTATACTTGAAGCTCATGGATGACGAAGAAAGTGCTGAAAAATATGTCAAAGATGGTTAGTTTGCGTTGGAAGCTTTACTATAAGGTTGAAAACGTTGAACTTTTCGCTTATAATTTACTGTAATTCATTAGATTCTACGTATTCGCTTGCTGCTCTTGAAAGACAACTTGTACAATATGTCAGTAATCAGGATGCTTCGGAAAAACCGTTTGACCTTTCTGCTGTGCCAAAGATCACTAAAGCGCAAGCTGAGGCCGAGAATTTGAAATCCAGAAGCTTTGACCTCGTATCCACGCAAACCATTGGAATTTCATCATCCGCTGTTGCCTCATCAAGTGCAGCCACTATCTCTACGAGTAGGGATGCTACTCCTACTCCAGGTATAGACCAACAAGTTGTCTATGCTCATCAGCTCGAAAAGATTTCAGAGATTGCTGCATTTGGTTCCTTATTCAAGAGCAGCGTCAAGCCTGTTGAGCTTACAGAGAGCGAGACAGAATATGCTGTCAGTTGCGTCAAACATTTGTTTGATGAACATATTGTATTCCAGGTATTGGAATGTCATATTCATGTTTGATTATCATTATTAGGGAATATATCTAATTCTTGGTTAAACGATCCTTTTTAAATAGTTTATTGTGGTTAACACATTGAATGATCAGTTATTGGAAAATGTTACAATTGTCATGCAGGCGGAATCAGATGACGGTTCTTTGGTGGAGGAATTTGTAATTCCAGCACCAAAATTACCGTATGATCAACCCGGGTCAATATACGTTGCCTTTAAGAGAACAAATCCCGAAGATTATCCTCTTTGTAGTTTTTCTAATACTCTAAAGTTTTTAGTTAAAGATTGTGATCCATCTACCGGAGAAGCCGATGCCGAAGGCTATGAAGATGAATACCTGGTATGGAAATTATTCGCTTTTCTTTCATCCGCGAACCATAATATGCGTATTTTTAATTCATAAAATGTAATTTTTTTAATTAGGTTGAGGATATTGAAATAGTTACTGGGGATTACATCCTTCCCACTTATATAAATGATTTCCAGAGTACTTGGGATAATATGGGAGAAGAAGGGCAAGTAATAGAGACATTTGCTTTAACCGCAGCAAAAAGCTTGAAAGGTATGTCGTCATTCTATCTATCTTACTATATAAATCTAGCTAAATATATCATCTACGTCATTAGCTGCTTGCACCACTTTAATTGACCTTCTTGGAATGGGACCTGTTGAAAATAGTGGAACACCAACTTCACCTAGCTTACACACTTTGATGCTTTCTGGAACATTTTTGAGCGATATAAAAGTATTGGCAAAGAGTCGAATGACATACTCTCCTAGTTCAGGGGTTACGATGGAATTATCTGTCCGATCTTCAAGTGAAGAGATTAGTCGTATCGTTATTGGAGCGGTTGTATAGATTATGTAATTTAGACAAATGTATTTCGAATAATCGTCATTACCATAATTTGGTTAATCTATGTTTAGAAAAATAAAATAAAAATTAAATTAACTAGAAATGATTTATGATTTACATCGCGGATGATCACGTTACCTGTACTATGCCGATTAGGGGCAAAAAGGATCATCACGATACATTTGTTTATTTAAAGTCTCCAAGTTCGGTAATTTTTTCAAGAAATCACTCAAAACCATGAATGTAAGATCTCATTCTTTTGTTTCCTTTTCGATATTATCGGGTACATTTGCAGCATTGGCTTCAGTATTTGCAAAGCTGTTTACCGATGCTCGGACATTTGTGGTTGCGCAATATTTGTGTAATATAATTGTGAATGAGAATTGTGAAGATATTTTAAATGAGACAATCCGGGTAAGTTACGGGTATCATTTGATGTAATTTGTTCATTCAATGGATTGATTATTTTGTTCATATTTCGATCGATCATCAACTTTACAGGTGAAATTCTTACGCATTTGTTGCTTTGGATCGATTTTTATATGTAACACCTTGATGTGGACATTCTTCACTAAAGCGTTAAATAAGTCGTCATCATCTCTTCAGGTCACTGTATTGAACACCGCGACGAACTTTTGCATGACTGTGAGTATTTTTAAAACGTAAAAAAAAACAATATTCCAATTTTTTTTTTAAAGAAAACCATCTCCCCGGAAACATTGAACAACAAAAAAAAATAAATTTTGTCATTTTTGAATTGTTAGGCGGTTTTAGGAAATATTATCTTTGGAGAAATCCTTTCTCTTCAATGGTGGATTGGAGCAAGCTTGATCGTGATCGGAACACTTTTAGTAAATGATAGAAAAGATCAAATGAAGAACAAGGATAAACGACAATAAAATTCATTTTGTCCCAAATTTTTTTTTTTGTTTAAGTCTCGGCAATTTACGCATCGAATCATAAAAAGAATTGTTATGTAACCCAGATGATAGAAATTATGCGATACAGATCGATCATTTTTCTTTTCTATTCTCGATTTTGAGCGCTCCATAGGATTTCATAATCCTTTTTATTTTTAGTTCAGGAAAAAAATAAATAAATAAACATAAAAATATGCTCTTTCATTTCACTTTTTTTTTTTTTATTTTTCATTTCAGGATTCGAATAAGGGATCATTTTCAAATCGAAAGCAAAAAATAAAAAATTTCCTTCCTACCCAAATCAATTATTGAAGAAATCGCTGTAAAATTCTTTATTTAGAGAAAAGTTTGAATACTTGTCGTTAAAAGAAGAAAGTACAGAAGTAGAATTACAAGGTTTAAATCAATTAAATTTTATCGTTGTTGAAATTTCCTCCCTTTTTTTTTAAAAAAAAAATAGATAACGATAAAAATAATATTTTATTTGATTACCTACACAGAAACAGAAGAAGAAATGTGTGAAATCAAAGACATCATCAATCTTAAAGGTAAGAAGGCACAATTTGTAGCATGGTGGCGTAGTCAATTATATTATACCAAATTTTTATCACGTAACCATATTAAAATAAATATAATATATAAATACATTATTTTTTTTTCACGTTCCATCTCTATCCGCGTGACAGACGAAGTCAAATTAGAAATAACAAGGTCATATAAACCATCACCTTCCTCATACAACCCTAATATACTTACAAATTCACAAAATATTGACACTAACCAACCTCCGAGTCCAACCGAATTATCTTACGATAACAATCATCTTGATGCAATTTCAAAGGCAAAAAATACTATCGCATTTTTTAAAGCACTTGGCGGGGGATATTTTCGCAATGTAGATCCAAGTTATTTCGTCGTAATATCGGGTGGTCGATTAATTGGTTTTTATGAAAATGAGATAGAAGCTCGTAAAGAAGCTGCTGCCGTTATTAATGGGGACGGAATGATTTTCCCGATTTCTGGAAATTTTAAATCCAATCAACGCAAATAACTCAACACCTTGTCATTTATAACTTTACGTTTAGATTTTCAAACTATTATAGATTTCTTTCTTTCTTCATTTTTTTTTTTTTTAATTGTACAAAACCTTTTCATAAAAATAAAGCATTTAATTTTAATTAAAATCACTCAAATAATTTAATAATGCGTGAACTCCAACCTATTCTTTTTTTTTATTTAATTGTTACCTTTGTGACGCGTTAAACAGCCAATCAGAGTGCTCAGAGAGGTGTGATGCCTTTGATTATTTTTCAGAAGTGATTGATGCTTCAGGGGATTAGACCTTTACATCAAATTTGCATTTGTATTTTCTAGAAACTGATTTTTATATCCCGGGCGTTTCTTTTTGTTGATTTGATTCTTATCACTTTAAATTGAATGCATTCATTACAATTATTGCGAACCAAATTTGACAACTCTTTCTGACGATCACTTTTTCAAAATGTCTCCAGTAATTAGAGGAAACAGTAAATACGCAAAACAACCCGAACCTTACAATAAAAATAATCCAAACCCATTAGATAATATTATAGAAACCACTGGCGCATCTTATAAAACTTCTTATACAAATCCAAATGAAAAAAGTTTGACTCAAACTAAGAAAAACAAAAACTGATACTTCAGAACTCAACATTATGGTTACTTTAACCAACTCTTCCAAAGTTGTTGAACCTTCTCTTTCTACCCTACAACAAACATCTATCGGTGTTTTAGGCACTTTTGACACTTCTTCACTTGAAATTTTTGAAATGGAAATTGATACTAGTGATAAAACTTTGATTTTCAAACCATCAACTTTGAACCTTAGAACTTCTATGTATGCAAAAGATATTCATAACAAAGATAATAAAGTTGTTACATCTTCTTCCATTGTCAATAAAAAAAAGCTAAGCAAACTTCTTAGGCTAATCAAGTAGAAAATAATGAAAACAAATTTGGCTAATCATGTAATAATAATGTGAAAAATGAAAAAAAATAATTTTTTCGATATTATTACCTCTTTACGTGATATTTTGCATCTTATAACGTAACAGATATCAATAAAAAATCTATAGCTAAAAAAAAATTTATCAACAAACTCTTTATTAACTTTTCAGGCTATCAAGGAGTTTTTTATAATACTAAATCCAGAAAATTCTTCATTTATTTTTACTCATTTGAATAACTTAACCATGTAATGAAAAAAGTGTAAGAAACATACATAATCCTGTATTTTGATCAATGATCCTGCAGTAAAGAAACAAAGAATTAATACTGAAAAAGAAGGTGTATCAGGATCAATGATATTCTTCTTTTTGTAAAATCTGATATTATATGAAATTTTTACCAATAGCATGATATAATTATCTGATTTTCAATGATCATTAGAGTAAAGGTCAGCTCTGATGAAATCTGATCAATCCGTTATCTGATTTGGTCAAATTTGAATCATCCAGATTTTTATTCATCAGATTTCAGATTATCTAATATATCATAATTCTGGCTGAAATTATAAATTTTGGGCAGAATTATGAAAATTACGAATAATCACATGATTTTTAATTTCTATATGCACAGGTATATCGATCAATTTCCTTTTTCGATAATAGCCATTCCACAAAAAAAATTTCTATTTTTAAATTTCCGTATTTTTTACATTTTGTATAACTATAACACTGATCATTTTCTTTTTCTGATGATTGCCATTTGTTTTCTGTTTTTTTTTGATTTTCACAGTCCTAGCATTCTGTGTAATCTGTGTAATTCAGTTTCTAAAAATAGTAATGATCAAAGGTCTCATATTTTAAAACATATCATCAGATCAATCAGAAAATCCAGTTTCTATCTGGTCAATCCTATAATACAAACGGATCAATTCAAATCTGATTAAATTTCAGATAGATGATTGGATATCTGGATTGATCAGATTCAGAACATACCTCTACATTAGAGGCTAAAGATGATGTTGCAACATTATGACGCTTATTTATCACCTATTGTAACTTAAATTTTAATAACGTTGCAATTCGTTGTAATATTGTGATATTTATTTGTCACCTGTTACAACTAATTAAGGCACTATCTTTACTAGAAGCCTATAATAGATCACCTTGATCTGTACTTTTTCTTGACTTCACTGTCAGAATTGAATCAATAGATTTAGATCAAATTCAATAAGTTCTAAGATAACAATTTAAGTTGAAACTTATAGGTTTAATTTTCAATATAACTCAATGTGACCTTTCAAATTTATTAGCTAAAATCAATGCTAAATTTTATTTTATTCTATGAGATTTATAATACAAAAATCATCCTTATGTGTATATTAATTTTACTATCCAAAATGATTATTTAGCAGCCCTTCAATCTCACCATAAATTCAATGTTAATATTCTTTATTAGGTTATTTCTGCTATTTTATATTGTCAATGATATGATAATCTAGAAATAATGCTAAGGATTGTACTTATTAAAAACTAACAAATCCCTATAAATAACTTTATGATCATTTTAAACTTATAGCATACAAATCTTTATGTAAACCCTTTAATAGAGCTTCGAATCAGGTCAGGTCAACCTGTTTACTTGACCTAATTTGACCTAAAAATCTAAGTCAGGTCAGTAGATTTTCAGGTTAATGTCAGGTCAGGTTAACAGGTCGAACTGACCTGACTCAATCTGACAAAATTCAGATCAACCAATCATCATTCTTGAATAATGTTTTATTGTTCAATTAGAATAATTTATTATTATTCTTGAACAATATTTTATCATTCAATTAGAACGATTCATTATTGTTTGAGAATAATGATTTTATTATTCTTGAACAATGATTTTATTATTCTTAAATGATGATTTTATCGTTCTTGAACAATGATTTATCGTTCTTGAACAATGATTTTATCATTCTTGAATGATAGTTTTATTGTTCAATTAGAACAATTTCTATCATTCAAAAATGATAGTTTTATCGTTCTTGAACGATTTTTATTGTTCAAGAATAATATTTTATTGTTCAAGAATGATGTTTATCATTCAATTAGAATGATTCGTTATTATTCAAGAATGATAGTTTTATTATTCAAGAATGATGTTTTATCATTTAATTAAAATAATAATTTATCGTTCAAAAATAATGTTTTTATCATTTTGAACGATGTTTTATTGTTCAATTAGAATGATTCGTTATTGTTCTTAAATGATGGTTTTATCATTCAAGAACAATTTATTATCATTTTTAAACGATAATTTTATCATTCTTGAATGATAAATTTATCATTCTTAAACAATAGTTTTATCGTTCGTGAATGATATTTTATCATTTAATTAGAACGATTCGTTATCATTTAAGAATAATGATTTATCGTTCAATTAGAATGATTCATTATCATTCGAGAATGATAATTTTATCATTCAAAAATGATGGTTTTATCATTCAAGAACAATTCGTTATCATTCTTAAATGATGATTTTATCATTCAAAAATAATAATTTATCGTTCAAGAATGATGATTTATCATTCAAGAATGATGGTTTTATCGTTCAAAAATAATATTTTATAATTCGATTAGGTCAGGTCAGATCAGATCAGGTTAAATGAAAATTTAAATCAGGTCAGATTTTTGTTTAACCTGACCTGATCCTTTCAGTTCAGGTAACTTGATTGATCTAACCTGAACCGATCTATTCAGAGCTCTACTCTTTAATCAACCTTCTAATTCTATTATATCTAATAATAGATCTAATAGATTATATACTGAAACACTCAAAAAATAATAATTCTAGATCTGCCCCTTCTTATTCTAGCACTTCTTCTGCTATTATTGATACTTTAAAAGACATTTTCAAATAACTTGACAATATCAATAACAAAATCTTTACACTAATAAATAATGTCGTTTGTATCAAAAATGAAATTTTGATTCTTTAAAATAATCAAA